AGAGAGAGAGAGAGAGAGAGAGAGAGAGATAGATATATATATATATAGAGAGAGAGATATATATATATATATAGAGAGAGAGAGAGATGAGATGAGATGAAAGAGAGTGGGGTGTGGAGGAGAGACTATGAGGCGGGTTCCCCCTTACTTATGTAGGCATTAAGGCCCCCAAGGTATGCCTATCCCAATATGACTCACTATGAGCAACAGGATTTTAGGATTTGTAAGGTGAAATAAAATATTAAATTTGAGTCATCCATCCCATAAACCATCCATCATGATTTATAGAGGAATATTGCAAACATTATCCTCTTAATGTTTGTCCCATATCCACTTTTGGTCAAACTAGGATAAGACCAATTTAAAAAAACGTAAAGCCTTCTAGAACTTCCTTTATCTCTTTTGAAATTGTAGGAAGTCAAAACAAACTATTTTGGTAAAAGATATTATAAAAAGAACTAACTCTCACAAATATGGACAATCTTTTCTTAGAGAAAAAGATTAACTTAACTAACTTCAATTAGACACTTTTAATTTTATTAAAATAAAACTAAAACATGAGAGGAGGCGTGCCACCCTTATGGGTGACCTTTGGGCTCCATGCTGCACCCATGTGGTGTGGCACACAATGTGGGCTCCTCCACATGATCACAAATTTCGACAATACCCTTTTGAGGGTTTTTAGTGATGAAATTGATTTAAAAAATTGAGAAACGAAAATTCACACAATTATTTCTGACACTGAAAGTATAATATCTAGAAGTGAACCGGTACAATGGGTCAAGATAAGTGATTGTCATGCCACTCCATCGGATCTAGTAACCATGATCCTCGACCATATTCTCACACCTGCCCAACGAGAGCCACGACCCATAGTGTCATGCTGGGGTCTATGATTGGCTCGTCAAAGTCAGAACCACAGTCCTGGAATGTGAATCACAAGTTCCTCCACGAAGAGCAAGTCACACACCTATCAATATAGTGCAAGGGGGATTATCTTTACATACATGTACACGTCCTTTTCAGGGTTGATTCCCAGTAATATGACTGTAATCTGTCCATGCAAGTTTGTTGAAGATTTAGCCTTCACTCTTACAAGCTTCACTCTTACAAGCCTACATCCACATACAGGAGACCACACAATCGTCGTGCCCTACAAACTATGCTTGGGCATCTCTATGGCCTTAACAAGGGATGGCCTTTTGTAAACCCATCGCAGTAGTGCCATATGCCTAGGGGTAAGGGTTTTGGACATGACCAGGGCCATAGATTGCCTAACCCTTTGGTCTGTCACGCTAACACATACTCCCAATAAAGTGTATAATCCACTACAAATGATTTTTGCCATGCTCTCACAGCCTTGAGAGGCCACAAAGCACCAAGTATATAATTAAGCGAGAGAGAGAGTCCCCGCGGGGGGGGGGGTTGTTGTGGAACAGTGCCTAGGGGAGCACCTGAGAGTCTGGCTGGCTGAGGAGGCTGAGCCAGGAAGGGACGAAGGTTCTATGGTCCTCCTTGTGGTACCTGAGCCTGGAGGAGAGGTTGGAGAGAGAGAGAGAGAGAGAGAGAGAGAGAGAGAGAGAGAGGAGGGGAGGGGAGGGGAGGGGAGGTTGGGGAACAGCTCCTAGGGGAGCATGCACCTGAGAGTCTGGCTGGCCGAGGAGGCTGAGCGAGGAAGGAACGAAGGTTCTATGACCCTCCCAGTTGTCCCTGACCCTTGAAGAGACGTTGGAGATCTGCCTTTGTCCCCTAACACATATTTTGGATCTGGCAAAGGCATCCACTTTGATGAACTTGCTGATGTCCGCCTCCAGCCCATCACCTTTAAGGAAATCTCTTCAGAATTTCTTTAAATACATTCTGTGTTGAACACGTATCATGCTAATCCTGCTCAGGTTCCTAGATTCATGCTTCTGTGCAAGTTTTCTTTTTGGCTTGGCTATATTCATTTATTCATACCTATTTGCAGATGATTTGCTATCTTCTGTTCTGCTTTAGGCATTATTGAAGTTTATAGAGCTTGTACAAGAGATTATTTGGTGACTTTACAGTCGAAGTCTCTTGTGCTGTTTCTCAAAGTTTATTGTTTTATTGTGTCTATCAGCAAATTGGTATTTTTCTATTTTTTAGTCATACATTTCCTGAAATGTGGTTGGATTCAAACAAATGTTTTTAATTGAAACATTAAGGACTGTAACTTGACACCTAGTTTGTATTGTTGAATATTGATTCCATTCTGAAACTACCTATATTTTCACTGAACATGAATTTTTCTTATTTTTCAGGTTGATTTTGTTATGGGTATACTATCCAGGCTGGTGGGTAAGCAGGTAAATGCTAATCTTTTTTATCCTTTTTTTTTAAGAAATGTTTTTTTGACTTGTAGTTGTATTGCTCATTTATAATTCAAATGTAGCTTATCAATGACATTCTACTCATTGATTTCTCATGTGATTTCTTCTTGGTTGATTTTATTAATTGTCAGAAATCGTTGCATAAATACCATTGCAATCCTTCCTTATGTATTTTGACTTTAGTTAGTGTAATGAATCACAAATAGATGGAAACTATGTCATTTTGGATATTTCGTGGTAGTTTGTTGAGTATGCATGTATATAGGAAAATTTTGAGTTGAACCTGGATACAGCTTTTATTTATGCGCTCCATATAATTTTCTTGTGGTTGAGCTCAAGATTTTTAGGATCTAGTTATTGGTGTTCAATTAGCTGCCAAGAAAGGAATTTTTTGGTGTTCAGTGTTAAAAACTATAGATTGAATAATAGTTTGAATTCGCAACACCAAATATTACTGGTTGCCAGTACTTGGAGCTGGAAATAGTGAAATATAATTGTCATCAACGAGTAGGGATGAGTGCTGCAGCAACTCGCCCCCACCCTTGCTAAGGAAGAAAAAAATTGAAAAATGTAAAAAAAAGGGAAAAAAAAAAGAAAAAATGGAAAACAGCACCTTGTTTCTTGCAATGAGTATTTTGGATGACTTTGTTAGTGTTTAAGGTGATTTGGGAAACTTTTATATTTTTTTCCCTTGTTTTAAAACTTTTCAGAAATATTCAAGATCAAAATCAAAATTTTCATTGACCATCTTGTATAGAGTTTTTCATCCTCTTAGACCTCTAATGATTTCTACTACCTCTTTTATGTTTTTTCTTATTTTTGACAATTTTTATTTCTTTTACCTTTTCCTGTTCGTCTTTTTTTGGGTTGTGTAGGACTCGTTCAAGTTCACTCGGACTCGGCCGAGTCCTTTGGCTCAGCCAATGGCCGAGTCCCTTGGCCGAGACAAGTTTCTGAACATTGATTGTCATCAGTGTTCGAAAATTCAGCCGCCCAACCGCGTAGGCGAAAAATTTCACAAAACGCCTAGCTGTTGTCTGGGCGATGGACTTATGCGGCCTGTCTCTTGGTGCCCACCTAGGCGCTACAGTCTAGGCACCCACATAGGCGCTGCTGGTGACAGTTTGCGGATGGGCAAAAAAAGCCCTTGGTGAAGGTAAAAAAAAATGTCATTTTTCTCTCATAAAAAGGGGGGGAAAGGGTTTTGGGGGATGTTCTAAACCCCCAAAACAAAGACTGGCTTTTAGGGTGAGAAAAACTCGCCAAAAAATCGTTCTTTTGTGATTTAACGAAAGATCGATAAAGTTTTAATTTTTGTGATTTCTTCCCAAAACAAGGGCAATAGTTCGTGGGTGGATTTAGAGCTTCTAATAGTTGATTTTGGGGACCTTTGGCGACCCAATTGACAAAGTTTGCACTGACATCGATTTGATTTTGATATTTTTAATGTATTATCAACATTTGAAAGAGGGTTTTGATTTTACTTTGCTACAACATATTATGTTGCGAATCATGTGTTTTTTCTTTTATCTTTTTTTTTTCTTTTACCTTTTTTTTTTCTTTTACGATATATTTACATGTTTAGTTGATGACTTGATGTATTTGTTTTTTGATTTTGCCTTGTTGACTTTGTATATCATTTCTAGTCTTCGCTTCTAGTTTCCTGCAATGATATTTGGGATTTCAAGTATTTTAATGTCTTACAAATTACAATCTCTTTTGAGACTTGTATCCGTAAGTCTATTATGTGATTGTTCTATTACATTTTCATCTATTTCACGAGGAGTTTGGGCTCTAAAATTGCCCTAAAAACTCCCTAAGACTTAAAACCATGTCCTAAGAACTCCCTTGTTGTTTTTGTTTTGGGGGGGGGGATGGGGGGTGTTCAACTTTGGTGAGGGCACCGTGTCTCTGGGCCCTAGGTGTCCCAAAACGCATAGGCGCCTGAATCTGCATTTTTGAACACTGATTGTCATTATTAGATTGAGAATAGGAAGTGACATTGATTACCTTGAAGTATTATCTAATTTGATCACAACTTTGATATCCTATTTTTTTTGAGGTACAGTTAATTATGTGACATTTTAATGTTCGTAATTTTTACTTATGTTTGTGTGCAATGTCTTACCTGATAGCAGAAAAAGGTTTAAAATGGAGCTCCCTTACAGGCTCTGTTTCATTAGATCTAAATTTTTTACTATTAAGTTCAACCGGCTATCATCTGATTCAATTTTCAATTATTACCATTTTTGTTGTTGGGATTTCTGAATTAATTTTAAAGCATCACATTCAGATCTGGAGGATGCCAAAGTTGTGGGTGGGATTCTTGAAATGTGCTTCTCAGACGCAGCCTCACTCATTTCGTGTGCTATTACAGGTTTCCTTTGCTTGTGGTTATTATTAATGTTGTTGCCATTTTGAAAAAAGTGTACTGTAGTCCAATGGACCATTGGAAAACAGTTTATTGGAGCCATCACCGTCCAATGAAATGACAGATGCAGATAGAGGACCCACCAGAAGAGGGCTTCGACTCAATGGTGTCTTTCTTTATCTCCATCACAGTCTTGGATGATGATGATGCCAACGGACTATGGTTTCCATGGTTCATTGGAGTTGAATTATAGTTTACCTTCCCTTCTTGAGTATCCATTTTTGTTTTGTTGGTTCATATGAGTGTTTCTGCCTGCAGTTACCTTCTCCGCAGCTCGAGAATGCTCTAAACAGGTACCCCATGCTGAGGCCTCCTCTTGCTGGCCATGCCAACCAACCTAGCATCAGAACTTCTCTCTCAAGGTAGTGCCTTGCTGCTGAATGCGTATGTGCATACCAAATTTATATAAGTAAATTGGAATGCTTTTCCAATTTTCGTTGCATGATATATTTCATGAAGTTGGATAGTGTACAACCTTGGATTAAATCGAGATGTTAGCTTACCCATAATTGGGCTGCAAGATACTTTTTGGTGAACTTGCGTTTTGAGTTCCAAGAAAATGTGGCATTTTGTATGGGGATGGAAACTGGTATTTTCCGTTTTCATCTCTCACAAAACAGCATTATTTTTTGTGTGCGTCCTCACCTATATGTGGTTCTAAAGTGGCATCTGAAGCAACCACAAACTTGTTGCCTACCCAAAATTCTACCCCAACAGTACGGAAACATGTTTTTGGGTGGCATCTGGGCAAGCCTTAGGCTTTTGCAAATGTAGAATTAATTTGGATTCCGAGACATTGTTGATCGGCCAAAATTTTTGAAGAATCACTAACATGGATTCAGATTAAGGATTTCTTTTAATGTATAGGGATATCTTTCAAAGTCATTTAAAAGTAACGAGCTAAAAGAGAGTTTTGAGCTAAAATCAACCTTTACCCCCCCCCTCCCCCAGCCCCCCCCCAAAAAAAAGAAAAAAAAAAAGTAAATTGTGTCAACATTTTGGAATATAAGATGGCATACCTCAACTTGACCTCATTCTGTGAGAATGTGTAGTACATTGATCATTCTATCGAATGGTTCATTTATTGAGATTATGCTAATTTGATCCAGCATACATTTGTATTACAATTAATGTAGAGATGGCTATTTTCTATTAGGGAGGGGAAAAAAAAACCATGGATGGCAGTTTTACGATCAAAATACAGTGCTACTGTTTGGCCTATGCTTTTCTTCTTTGAGGCTATGATCGTCAAATCCAGGGACAAAAAAGAAAACACAAACCCCATTGAAGTCAAAAGTGAGAATTAAGATACCGGATCTTAGTGAAATGTCGTTCATTGTCAGTCACTTATGATTTGCATGCTTAAAAGATGGACTATTCGCACAAAATTTGTTTAGCATTTTGCTTTCTGCACCTGACAAGCATTGAAACTGCAGATCGGTTCTTCAAGTTTTGGGTCTGGTTCGTGAACCTCAGGCACCCTCCCCTTCACTTTCACAAGTATCGACACACACTCCTGATGCAGGCTCTTCTGTCCAGAGTACGACCCTTGCATAGGCCTCGAGCATGGCAGCATTTTCAAGTTGTATTATAGAGTATGGGTGGTGGTTGTTTTGTCTGCCACCCATTGTCCAAGGAGCGCCATTTGAGTTGAGCTCTTCAAATCCCCATAAAGAGGTTGTCATGACGGGGATAGGAGAATTCAGAGGAAGTTTTGCCCTAAAAGTGCGTTTTGGCAGTTGAAGCCGATCACCCTCAAAGATGTACCATAGTTGTATCCATAAATTGATTCGTAGCTTTTCTTCATTTTTTTTTTTTCATATTTGTTGTCTTCTCAGATCAACCTCACACGACCCAAGGCTTGTTCAATTGTTCTTGGTTGAGTGTGTATATTAATAGTTGTGAGGCCTGCAAAATTTTTTAAAATGTTTTTGGCAGAGGTGTTTACTGATATTTTTTATTTATTTTTTGTTGGTAATGTGGGGATGTTTTTGATGGAATAGATTCCACCATCATAAAACTTAAACGTAAAACCATGCCAAATAAAATAACTATCAATTGTCCTGGATCAAAATCCAAACAAACAAATCTTGGCCTTGATATGGGAAACTTGCTAGGATTTTGGGAGATAAAATAATGGAAAAATATCGTCGTACCTTTTAATTTTTATTTTTATATCTCACTAGACCAAGGATGCAAAACATATCTCCTAAACTTCCCATTGACTCGATCTACTTTTAACCAACTTTTTTAGCCCTAATAAATATAAAAATAACACTCGCATCCTAAACCCTTTCTTTGTATTCTCCCAAATTTCTCTCTTTCTCCCAAACCCCTGCTCTCTCTGTATCTTTTCCCCCACTTTCTCTCCCCAGGCCTCTCGCTCTCTGTGTTTTCCCAAATCCCTCTCTTTCACCCTAACGCCTCTCTACCACTCCCTAGTGGGCCGGATGTTCTCCCTGTGAGAGATCATTTCTTCTTCGAGGTCACACACAAGCTCAGAGATATCTACGGTTTGGAAATCCGTTGATGGATTTTTGGGTGTCTTGGACATTCTTCTTCACACGATGGGTGGGGATTGCAAGGTGGGTCTTTGGATTTCTTGAGCACTCGTTGTTCACAGAATGGGAGGGCATTGCAAGATGAGGAGGTTTCGAGGAAGGGATTATCAGGAAGGCCCCCTCCATCTGAGTCATTCAACTGCAGCACTCTGCCTTTCTGTGCTCAAGCGGAGGCCGCCGGCGGAGAGAGAAAGAGAGAAGTTTGGGGAAGAGAGAGGAGATCCCCAGCTCTTGATGGGAGATTTTTAAACCCTGCGGAGAAATTTTTCTCTAAAACCCTGTTTTTTATGGGAACATTTTCTCTCTCTATCTCCATCTCACTGGTTGCCCATATATAATTAAGTACCTTCACACCTTTTGGCCCTTTCTCTCTCAACCCCCCAACTCTGGCAACCCTTTCTGCGTGTTTTACAGCGGATGCCATCTGAACCCATGACAATTTCAACGGATATGGTTGTCCTCCGTGACTGAGAAAGTCCAAGTAATTCTTAGAGAGAGAGAGAGAAACCCTACAAGAGAGGAGAGAGAGCTGTAGGGGAGAGGACAAGAGAGGGAGAGTGCAGTATTACGAGAGAGAGAGAGGGAGCTTGGTTTGGGAGGGATTTGTGTTGATTCATTTTAGAGAGAGAAAGAGAGAATGGATACTTGTGGGTACTTCAGCTAATCGATGTGAGGGGCTTAACAATATCCCATGTCAAAAGCCATTTACAGGTTCCAAACCCCAAGCTTCAATGAATAAAGCACTTGCGTTTTCCTTTTTCCTTGCTTTTCAATTTTTTCTCTGCTAATTACCTGGTTGATCATCCATCAATTTATTTTTCCATTTTCTTTTGAGTTTCTTATCAGATGTACAGAAGCATGAAGAGTGACTCAAGCAGACACGGTCAGTCCCTCTCGCTCTCTCTCTGCTATTTTTAAGGGCCCCTCCATCTGAGTCATTCAACTGCAAGCTCTCTGCCTTTCTTTGCACGAGCGGAGGTCGTCACCGGGGAGAGAGAAATAATGGGTATCTTTGAGGAGACTCACGGGAGAGAGAGAGAGAGAAAGAGAGAAGTTTGAGGAAGAGAGAGAAAAGTATCGGTTTTAAGAAAGAATTAAGTTTTTTTAAATTTGTTTAGGTTTAAAAAATAAATTTAATTTAAGTGGATTAAAAGTTTTTTAAAGTTAAAAATATAAACATAAGATTTTATATTCAAGATATATTTAGCTATTTTTTCGTCTATTGAGATATGAAAATAAAGAATAAGAAGTATTTCTAAAAGTTAAAAGATATAAAATGTAAGATTTTTATATTCAAGATATATTTAACATATTTGAGTCTATTAAGATATGAAAATACAAATAAAAAATAAAAAGTAACAAAGATATTTTCTCTAAAATAATCAAGCAGCAGGTTTCCATGTAAAATTGTGGTGGAATG